GCGCATACGTTTCTCTTGCGAATGAATTCAAGAATTGGGCCCCTGACTATGAATACCAGCCCATGTGGCCGCACCCTCAGTAGGGATGTTCGATTCTCTTAAAAGAATTGATTCTTGAATCGATTCTGAATCGAAATAAAATGTTTATTTTGTTGTTCTTGAGGCAGTTATATAAAAGATCTATACATTTTTGATAATAAAACAATAACTGGATGAACTAAAATAACGCGTATTGAAATTTTTTTCCAGTCACATTAAATCCCATACACCCTGCTAATTTTAACCGTCGGTTCATCTAACCGGACTTGGTGAAATTGGCCCTTAAAGCTTAGAGCTTGAGGCTAGGTTCGATGTAATTTTTCTCTTAAAAAAAGGCTAAATCTTAAATCACCTATTGTAGACACCGCCGTAGAGTTAGCAGAGAAATTAAATATTTTCTAATTATTTTATATTAAAGGATTCAACCAATCAGAGTCTTTTATTTCTAAAATGAAAGACACAATAAAATATTTTCATGTGCGCTGATCCTTAAGAGCAAGCAAAATGAACAAAATTCAACTCTATAACATTATATTACGTATGACGTCGTCGGAATTGACGACGTAGATTTTATTATTTTACTGAATTTTTATAATTCTTTTATAAACATACCTATATAGGTATCTAGGACTCTGATTGGTTAAATTCCTAATGCCGCGTGCATAACGCATAATAAATTTTTTTGAACACACAAATTTATTTAAATTACAAAAATGCGACTTTTCCCAAATAAAAATATTAATGAATATGTTATTCCCAAATGATTTCTAATCGATTCCGTTCATAATATTTATTAAACATAATTAAAATCTGCTAACTTGACGCTCGATAAATTTTTATTATTACAAAAAAATATTGTTTCCTAAATGTTGCTTAAAACTTAAATTAATAAAGGAAATAAGTAATTAAACAATTAGGCTTTAAATTTTTGAAAAATTTTATATTATTAAAAAAGTATTTACAAAATATATGTTTATTTCACATACTTTTTACATACATTTCTTTTATATATTTTCATATACTGCTTTGTTTTTAATACCAAATTACTTATTCATTTTTTAATTGCCAATCTTTAATGGACAGTGAATTTAAAAATAATAGTTGTTGTAGATGATCGGGCGAAAGTCGGTTCCTGGAATCTGTTAAAATATTGCCAGCCCTTGAAAATAATCTTTCAGAAGGTACTGACGTTCCAACAATTGCCAAGTATTTTTTGGCAATAACGCTGAGAGTCGGGTATACTGATGCAAGCCTCAACCAATAACGTATTGGACTTTCCTTACGATCTATCATTGGTTGATCCATATAGTGCTTCAAGTCAGTTGGCATCTCGTCTTGGTGCCGTTGCGCAAACATTTATAGTCTTCATTTTAAGAAGATCATCATGAAAGGAAGAAGATCATCATGACAATTCTTTTAATCTTTGCGCACAATGATATTGCATCTTGAAAATTCATTGTATCCTCAGCGACCAAATTTATTGAATGAGCAAAACATGCAATATGTTTGATAGACCCAAAGGTATCTCTAACCGCTTTTTTAATATTCGCTCCGTTATCGGTTACGACAACAACTATTTTTTCATCATCGATTTGCCAGTCTTGCAAAATCGTTCTCATCCATCTTCCTATAACTTGAGAGGTGTGTCGCTCCGTTATTTCTGTAACACCAATCGTGGTGGATTGCAATTCTCCTTCAAATTCGTAGTGAACAGTCATCCTCAAATAGCTGACGGTATTAAGTACATCGGTCCAAATATCCGCCGTTACTGAGAAATAATCAATTTTTTCCAATTTTTGTTTTTCACATGCTCCTAGGTACTCATATTTTTCTTCTATTTTTTTTTTAATCGACTTTCTTCCAGGTGCAGAATAAAGAGGCACAATAGTTTTCATCAAGTTCCTGAATCCTTCATTATCTACTGTCTGGAAAGGCATATTGTCTTTGGCAAGCATGAAAAGGATGGCATTGGTGATTTCTCCTGCTCTTGCACCTCCCTCTAAAAAGATAAATATTATGAATTTTATGCATAAGTTTAATAAAGTTTAAATTTTTGTAGTTCTTCAGGATCCTAAAGGCCCTAACCTCAAAATTCAATCTTTTCATTTTACTAAAAAAATATCTAACTCTAAATATTTGATTTCTAAAATTTTAAGATTGATTTTGGACATTAGAGCCTGTATCTAACACCATGGAGGCGAATAAATGTGGTGCGATGGTGGATGCCTCTCGGCGAACTGTTATATATACAGGGTGAGTCATTTTAATCAACGCACGCAAATATCTCGTAAAGTAAGCAAGATGGAAATACTTTATTATAGTGTTTTGAAAAGCTTTCGAGATAAGCTACAAGAATATGCAATAAAAAATGGGGGGTTCCGTTTAAGAAAATATCGATCACATTGACTTGGCTTTGAAAAGGTCACTCAAGGTCAAGTTCATATTTTCATCATGTGTCCCCCTCTGAACCCTACAACTTTTGTATACAACATTTTTTTCCATCTTGCTTACTTTACGAGATATTTGCGTGCGTTGATTTAAAATGACTCACCCTGTATATGTTACCTTCAAATGATTTTATTTGCTTAAAAGCGTTGTCGATCCTTGGTTGGAATACATATTGTCGATCCGTATAATAAAATCTACTATCTGATTCTGACAGACTAGGTGCTGGTGAAGAAGCAGGAGTTAAATTAGATTCAGATAGATCCATGGACGTGAATGTAGAGGTAGATGCCGGTGATGGCATTAATGACAATTTTAATTGGTTCTGAAAATAAACAAGAGTAAACAAATAATGTAATAAAATAATTAAGGGGTGCATGTAAATATTGTAAGATATAGATTTACCAAATTATTTGCTTGTTCCGGATTAGGAGCTTTTTCATTGCTGTTCTCACTTTCTCCTAAAGTTAGTTTTACTTCTTTATTTCCTGCATGATTTCGTTTTAAGTGATTTTTTAAATTAGTTGTACCACCACCTTTTCCGCAGGACTTCACTTCTCTGTTACAAATTTTGCACGTAGCATCACCACTATCAGTGTCATTAGATTTTATGAAAAATTTCCAAACGCAAGATTTCTTTATTTTGGGCACTGTAAAAATATATTGTGCTATTTTTGTTGGGCACTGTAAAAATATATTGTTTTGCTATTTTTGTAGAAAAAAGCAAACAATGAAAAAAAAATGTATTTTGCTTCTTGAAAAATAATGTGAATTAAAAGAAAAGAAAGAAGGAAAGAAAACAAATAATTTAAAAAAATAGGTGAGATTATGTTCGACATGTTGAAAAAACATTAGTAAATATACCCACTTTTGTACTGTTTTTCGTTTAACACAGTTCATCACCAGTAACATTCAAATTATAACTTTTATTACGCATAAAAGACGTTATAAAAATGGCAATTCACACTTATTGGCAAGATGAAGCTGTTTAATTGGGTTATAAAAATGCTGCGAGGAAAAGGGAAGACATTCAATGCAATTGCATGATATAAAATGAAACTAAAACCATGCAATATGAAAGTATTATAGATCATAGATATAGTAATAGATTATAGATATTATAGATATAGTAATATAGATCAAATGAAAATATTTGTGCAATAAATGTTTATAATCTTGTACGTACCAATTTCTGTATTAATTATAATTTCAGATCAACACTGAACTTGACGGTTGTTCCCGCGTTTTATTGGAGAAGCTCACTCGAATAGAATTCACACTTGTCTAAAGTTAGCAAGATGAAGCTGTTTAATTGATTATAAAAATGCTGCGAGAAAAATAGAAGACATTCAATGCAATTGCGTGATATAAAATGAAAATATTTGTGCAATAAATGTTTATAATATTGTACGTACCAATTTTTGTATTAATTATAATTTCAAATATCAACACTGAACTTAACGGTTTCTGCGTTTTATTAGAGAAGCTCACTCGAGAAGAATTCAGACTTGTTCACACTTGTGGGCCAATTTCACCAATTCGGTTAAGCCCATATTAGACTGCGCATTGAAGATTGAGATTCAAGATTCAAGATTGAAATTTGACCAATCAGAACAAAAGGGACTAAAATTTCTTTGTCCTGATTTGTCAAATTTCAATCTTGAATCTTGAATCTCAATCCTCAATGCGTAGTCTGATACGGGCTTTAGATGAATCGACGATTAAAATTAGCAGGGTAGCCAACAGAAAATAGAGGTGAAGGAAAACCAGACATTTATGTCGTTTCAGTTAGCCACCCTGCTAATTTTAACCGTCGGTTCACCTAACCGGACTTGGTGAAATTGGCTCTTAGACTATATAGATTGTAAAGAGTGTAGACATAGGCTGCGGTCGGGAACACGCTAGAAATGCTTCGAAGCATTTGATTGACCAATCAGGACAAAAAGAGTAAAGATTTATTTATTCTGATTGGTTAATGCAATGCTTCGAAGCATTTCTAGTGTCTTACCGACCGCAGGCATAGTATCATGGTGTAGATATAAACAGTAGCGACAGGTAAGAAAAAAGCGAGAAAAAAGAATTTTTAAAAATAGGATCAGTTCTTCGATTCTTAGGGTAAAGAATCGATTCGCAAAAAAATCGTATAGCAAAGAATCGATTCAAAAAATCAATTTTTTTACTAAAAAAATCGATCTTTTAAAGAATCGAATCGGAATCGAACATCCCTAACCCTCAGAGTTAGGGCCAATTTCACCAAGCTCGGTTAGATTAACCGACGGTTAAAATTAGCAGGGTTCCATCTGAAATGATAAGAATGCTTGGTTTTCCTTCACCTCTATTTTCTGTTGGCCACCCTGCTAATTTTAACGGTCGGTTAATCTGGCTGCATAAAGTTAGCCGGACCACTTTAACTTTTTAATAATTAAAATTATCTAATCGTTTGGTGGTGATTGGTAGCCTAATTAAAACGTTTGGTGGTCAATCGTTTTTTTTTTTTAATTAAATAGTTAAAATATTGGTGTAAAGTTAGCCGGACATTTTTAATTTTTAGTCTAATCGATTAAATCAAGGCTTATTCGATGCAGAATCGTTAGGTGGTCACAAATCCTTTATTTACGACGTTTGGTGGTCCATAATTTATCCAAAAAGTAAAAAAAACCATATGCGTTGACCCTGCGCCTGCGCATGCCTTCGTCGTATAATGGCTCTTGCAGCCAGCGCGATGACGCGTCGCACGATATCCAATGAGGGTAAATATAGCGAAAAGGGGACCCAGCCCCAATAACCTTGATATATGTTGTCAAGGACATAATTCTGAGTAACTTACCAAACGACCACCAAACGATTAGATAATTTTAATTATCAAAAAGTTAAAGTGGTCCGGCTAACTTTACGGAGCCGGTTAAAATTAGCAGGGTTTCAACTGAAATTATATGAATGCTTGGTTTTTCTTCACCTCTATTTTCTGTTGGCCACCCTGCTAATTTTAACCGTCCGTTAAGGGTCGGCAGGAGTTACGGCCAAACTCCGAATTGATATTGGAGACCTCGCGCGGTGACAATGCGAAACTCCGACTTCAGGATTACCAATCTGACAAATAAATTCTCGATCTCTATGTAGAGGTATATGTCCATATACATACACACACGATTGAATTGCTCGCGTGGACGCACCGTGGAGAGGAAAGATAGAAAAGGATCAACGATCACGTTATCCTTGTTCCTCTAGCGTATCACTCTTCAATGTACGGTGCCATCGTTCCAGAATACCATTAGAAGCCGGATGATAAGCTAAGGTTCTAATACGCTCACAACCAATTAGGTTGGATAACAGACTTTGTATACAATCTGGAATCTTTCTGCTGACAAAAATTTGTAGCAGACGTTTGGCAAAATCTGTTCGAACATACTTGGCTATCTGGGCATACAATATTTAATTGCACGTATAACTTTAACTATAATTTAACATATATATGCATATATGTATATATGTATATACGTAACTCAAAAAATTTATAATTAATAAAATACAGCTCATGGCCAACTGCACCTAATCCGCCATGAGCTGTATCAGAGCTATACCTTATTTATCAATTTATGAAATATTATTTTAACTCTTTTTTCCAAAAAATCGCTCTGTAGAGACAATCTTACGATCCTACTGATTACGAATATTGCTGTTAGAAATTAATTTTCTTTGTATTTTGGCCGTAATACGAAAAAAACGTATCCGTAGTTCACGGCTTCCCGCGAGAGGTCTCTACTGTCTCTCCTGCCGACCCTTAAAAAAATATAGAAGAGAATGTGAAAAAAAGTAGATAAAAGAATGTATCAATACATATATATTACCATGTGAGTTCACATCAGTAAAAAAAAATATATATATATAAACGTACTCATATATATATATATATA